AGGTCAAGTGCATGGAAGTGGGACAGAGGCCGGGCAGCGCTGCCCCGCCCCGACGGCGGGTCCCCTGCGCTTTTTCTTTTTCTTTTTTTTTGAGACGGAGTTTCGCTCTTGTTGCCCAGGCTGGAGTGCACTGGCGCCATCCCAGCTCACCGCAACCTCTGCCTCCTGGGTTCAAGTGATTCTCCTGCCTCAGTCTCCTGAGTAGCTGGGGTTACAGGCGCCTGCCACCACGTCCGGCTAATTTTGTATCTTTAGTAGAGACGGGGTTTCTCCATGTTAGTGAGGCTGGCCTCGAACTCACAACTTCAGGTGATCCGCCCACCTCCCATCACAGGCCTGAACCACCGCTCCCGGCCCGCCTGCACTTTCCCGGGCGGCCGCACAGGGGCGGTGGGGAGCAGCCTCACCCTGCTCCGGCGCTGCGGGCCACGTCTTGTGGGCTGGGGTCCCCTGGGGTCAGGTGAAGGTCGCTGGGGATGGAGGCCCCCTGGGCTGGGGTCTCCTGGCCGTCGTGGAGCTGTGCGACCCTCCAGGACCTGGACAAGTCACCCAATCTCTGAGTCTGGCTTCCTTCCATCACACGGGCAGAGGCCGCCTACCTAGCAGGCCTGGCTGGAGCCTGGGAGTCCCAGTGGGGGCTACCTCTGTTCCTTGGTCTACACTGAGACCTGGATCTCCGTCCACAAGAGGGATATGGAAGGAATGCTGGCTGGGCCCCCACTCACAGCTGCCGTCAGCGAGTCGTGGGAACCTCACCTTGCAAATGCGCTGGAATCCACCCATCTGTTCCTCCAAGGCCCCAACTCTGGTTCTGTTTCCCCTTGTGGCTTGTTTACCCCTCTGGGCACACTGACACCCCTTAGGCTCCCGGCCCTCCGGAGCCCTGCACCACCGGGACCCTCCCCCGGCCTCTGGGCCTCTGCACGGCTGCTCCTCACCTTGCCCAGGTTCTGCCCACGCCTCCCCCCCGCCCTCCTCCGCTGCGGTTCCCAGGGTGCTCCCCTCCAAGCTCAACGAGGGCCTTCAGTGGCAGTCGTGATGGCTGGCTCCCCTCCACCTGGGGGCCCGTCCCTGTGACCCTGGAACCCACGTACTGCAGGCACGCAAGAATAAAATGATGGAGCATTCCTGCTGACTCAAGGGTCTGTCTGTGCCTCAGTTTCCCTGGCCATGGAATAAAAAGCAGCAGCCAGTCCATGGGGTTCCAAGCATTGCCAATTGGCTCACCTGTCAGAGAAGGGAAACTGAGGCCCAGAGGAGGGGCTGGGATCAGAGGAGGGAAACTGAGGCCCAGAGGAGGGGCTGGGATCAGAGGAGGGAAACTGAGGCCCAGGGGCGGGGCTGGGATGAGAGGAGGGAAACTGAGATCCAGGGGAGGGCCTGGGTGCAAAGGAGGGAAGCTGAGGCCTAGGGGAGGGGCTGGGTGCAGAGGAGGCAAAATGAGGATCAGGGGAGGGGCTGGGTGCTAAGGAGGGAAACTGAGGGTCAGAGGAGGGGCTGAGTGCAAAGGAGAGAAACTGAGGCCTAAAGGAGGGAAACTGAGGCCCAGGGTGGGGAAACAGGTCCCTGGGAGGTTAGCTCACAGCCCTGTCTCCCTGGGTCCCATCCCCCTCCTGCCCAGGCCGGTGCCGGGAAAGGCCTCACCGGAAGGCAGACTCCAAGGAGAGGCCCTCCCCAGGCCGGAGGTGCAGGCCCTTCCCGGGAAGCTGGGCCCTTAACCCGGGCGGGGGGCAGCAGGCCTGGTGAATAGGCTGCTTCCCAGCCCCTGACCCCACTTCCTGCAGGTGGGGAGGGGCCACTGGGCGCTAGGAGGGCTGAGGCCCCTTGCAGGGTGTGTCCCAGCTCTCCAGGACCCTGTCCTGCACCCGCCCGCTGGGTCACACGTGGTGGTCATGCTGCTCATACTCCCTGCGTGGGGAGCCCTCACATCCACAGGCTTGCGGGGCGGGGACAAGACAAAGCTGGAGTGCCCCCCAGGACAGGGCGGGTGGGATGGACACAGGAAGGAGGAGAAGGGTTCCCAGAGGCAGAGGGACCCGCAGGTTTAAAGGGTCAGAGGTGGGGAAGGTGGGGGTGAGGGAGACACAGAGACAGAGACAGAGTGAGGAAGAGAGACAAGGCAGAGAGACACAGGGAGATGGAGACACAGAGAGGCAGAAGCAGAGGGATGGAGAGACCGAGGTGGGCCAGAGGCCTGCGGTTGGGGAGGACCCGAGACCCCTGTGTCTGAGTCCTAGTCCCACAGCAAGGGACTGCACGGTATCTTCTTCCACCGGCAACGGGGACCTCCCTTTTGTCCTTAGGAGACTCGACCCTGCCTCCAACATCGATCCCCTTCCTTGCATTGTCCTCGGTGGCCTCCGGCAGGAAGCCCCCTTCCCATGGAGGGTCCCAGCTGTCCCACCGGTCCCAGACCCCACATCCTGGCCTCCCTGTCCACAGTCGCGGGGGGAAGTGTTCCAGATGACTGTGTTGCTGAGGGGAAGGGGCTGTGGGGGTGCCGGCGTCTAGGAGCTGAGCACGCCTCCAGGCCCTGACAGACCCTTCTTGACCCAGCTGGGCCAGCTCTCCTGGCTCCCACCCACTGGTCAGTTTTGGGGTCCTCACGGCTTTTTCTTTGGAGTGAGGGCCCCCATCAGGGCAGGCCCTCCTTGTTGGGCAAGGCTTGAACCCAGTCCAAGGACCCCAGGCCTGAGGGTCTCAATGACAGTGGGGGCGGGATGAGATTGATGGAGGCTGCAGGAGGGGGTTGAACAAGTAGCCATGTGCATGCATGTGTGCGTGTGTACGTGTGGAGTTTTAGCCATGAAGCCCACACTGGGGGTGGGTCTGACACCCACATCAGGTTTGAGGAGGAAGGATCTTTGTGGCCCACCTGGCACAGGTCCCTGAAGGAGTCGAGCCCCTCCCTGCAGGCCGGCCAAGCTGACCA